ATCACTGCATTTGGAATTTATGTTGGTGAATTTTCCCGAATCAAAAAATTCGGTCCCCTTAATCTCTTGTAGTGGAAACTCTGATGATCAGTCCCGTTTCCGGGACGCCGCTCGCGTTCGCCTCCCAAACGAAATCGTAGTAGCCTGTTGAAGGTATATGCGGTCCATACAATAACTTGCAGTGGACAACCCTTGTACAAGGCTTATCCTGGGCGATTTTTTTATCATTCGACCAACACCGGAGGGATGGAAGACTCGGTTGGGATTCGACCTTTAGATTCGATTCAATCGGCTATTATCTACTCCTAGGTCCTCTCCTCGCACAAGAAACGGAACCCTTTTATAGAGTCCAAATTCGCTGCTTGTCTGAGTAAGGTTACCTCTGACAAGCTACGCCACTTTGTTATAATAACGCTTCTTCTATCTACATTTACTTACATTGAAGTTTTTTATATTTGTTAATAATGTTGATAGTTACTATTAAAAAGTCATAGTAAATCTAGAAACATGCGGTAGTACTGTAGTATTCACGCGTTGACAGTAACCTGTGTTAATATCCAAATGACAAGGGTACTGTAATACAGTAAGCATGCAGATCAATGTTCAGCAAAATGAAATTCATAGAGACTGAGTTTGATCGAATTGTTCAGGTTTTTAACAGTTACAGTGAATACCATTTTTGGAGGTTAATCCATCGCACGTTCATCCAGACTCCCAGACCGTAATTCCAATGTACTTGTCACTTTCTTCCCTGTGACATAAAAATGTCAGCTAATTTTAAAGCTAAGTTATGGGTAGTGACTTTAAGGCTTCTATTAATTTTGTTTGGGCGGAGGTGTTGTAGTGGCAAGTGGCGCACTATATCACACGTACGGTCATGGGTTCGAATCCCGGATCGATGCCCGCCTAGGCCAACCANCATACGCACTCATTACGCCACTACGATTCTGAATGGAAGTCGAGTGCGGGGGCGCATCCCTCAGACGGGATTGATCAACGCCAAAAACTTTATCCTTTATTAATTTTGTTTATCCAGTGATTCGTCCATGCTTCCCTATGGATGGCCTATTAACAATTAACTTCCAATGGTGCTCGCTACCTTCCAAAAATATGAACCTCTACGAACACTCTCAACTATTTCGAACCTGCGGTGTCTCCCAGGTTTTCTTTATAACCTATAACAACGTCCGTACAACAGCTGGAATAACTACGGCCTTCACTGGCCTAGAAGTTTTCTTGCAAAGAGTTTTTTTACTGTTATCGTATTTAAGGTGGAGGGCCTTCCATCCCTCCAGGGTTAATTGGTACCAGACTCGTCTAACAATAAAAGACTAAAAACACCGACTGCACATTGGCTAGTTACACCAATTTGTTGTATACATAGGCCACATGCGCTTTCAATACACCACTATGATTACAGAGTAACGGGAATGTGGGGCGCGTCCCAAAAAAGAGTTTGATGATCAGTGTCAAAGGCCTAACCCTTTATTCTATCATACTCCAATAAACAACATTTTGCCATGAACTGCTGTGTTTTGCTACCGATTTCTAGAGCGAATGTCATCGCAAGAGTGCTGAAATGGACCAGGAAGGTATGAGCACTATGGAGGCTGTTTTCTTTGTTTCGAAGACTGGTGTTCGTGTAGCGCAGGTGAAGAACCTGGAAAGGCGCCGTCTAACTGGCCAGCTGTACCTCACCTTGATTGCTAATCGCATTGCGAGCATCTCAGATGACATGAAGGGGGCCCACGCGCTTGAGGAAGGACCCTTAAATCACTGAGTACTCAGTTTTTAATCTCCCTATAGCAAATTGAGTTTCCTGCAGAATGTGAGCTTCTGCTTCAGGGATTTTGAAAGTCGATCTTCTGAAATATTCAAAAGGTCAAACGTAAGGGAGTTGGCATGCGCCCACTTCTGCCGGTGTTACAGTGGCAAATGGTCAGTACAACATAAGCAAGATCACGGGTTGGAGCCCCGGATCGATATGCGTCCAGGACAACCAAGCCTCTCATCCATCCCCGGTCGCCTGATTGGTACCAAATCCATCTGGGGAAGTAAAGACACTGAGTTGTGCATCGGCTAGCCACCGTTATAGTCATTGTATGTATAGGCTACATGCGCATTCAATACGCCGCTACGATTCTTAGTAGAAGTCGAATGCGGGGCGCATCCCTGAAGCAGGATTTACAACCGCCCAAAGACTCTGAAGAACTTAAGAATTCACTACAAGCCATTGAAAATACTCAAACAGAGCTATGAGATGGGAAAGCTTTTAGAAAACAGCTACAATTGTAAGAGGGTCTTGTGAAGCCCAAGTTTTGCAGAGTTATGAGCCAGCTAATCGGCATCGGTAGCGAATCGCTAGGCAGTAATGGTCACCAAAAATTGCTGTGATTATGAATTTAGAATCGAACCGCAGTTTCAATTGACACTGGACGTGACGGAATGACTCTGACTTCAGCTTTCTTCGGAATTTTTTTTTAGAATAATGCTTTTTATATCGAAAACATACTGTACATGCTTATGGTTGGTACTCATCAAGGAGCATATACTAGTCTAGTTTGGGGTGGTACCGTTGTTGTACTCGAATATATTGCCTGCCATATTATATTCATATTTTTTACGTGACCCAATGCGCGAGACTCCCTGAAATGCTGACTATTGAATGAGAAATGTTTATCTTCAAATTAGTGAACATGTGTTAATTGAGAGATGACAAATGAATTAGAGTACGAATATTTCAAACGATGGTAGAAGACCCACGTTCCCGCTCATTCCATATGTGGGGGGACGGTACATTCGTGCGATTCGAGCTGCGCGCGGCAAATTGTGCGGCGAAATCTGTGGCGATTCGAACGACCCTGGCGCCTATTACTGGGGTACCAACTTGAAGTAGGTTTTATAAGTCTAGCCAGCTGATCCTACATATCTACTCTACTTCAAATTTGGTTCCCAATAACAGGCGCTAAAGTAGTCAGAACCGCTATTAATCTTGCCGCTCAATCCGCCGCGCGCAGATCGAATTGCACGAATGTACACCCCCCAATAAGCCACAGAATAAGCCACATACTATACAACTGAAGCTTACTATCGTACTTTCACGTGCTATCAAAAGTTATCAGCACCGAAACCTTTGCAATCCAGTTGTAATTATAGCAGGGAAGTTGGGAAAGGCTGGTATGGGGTTAAGTGGTTATGGGAGCTATCCCCATGCCTTCAACGCTTTTCAATGCTTTCTCTGCTCAAACCTTGAGTCTGTGCAAAAGTTCAATGACTGACGGCGAAAATTTTAATGGGAAAACTGAAAACCAACAACGTAAACTAACAATCTAGTTTTTACGTTGATAACTGAGCAAAGTACATTTTCCTGCAGATCAGACATTCGTAATGGTCTATTTGAGCTGATCAAACAACAAACAAAACCTCATTCGCCTCCTTTTCCTGAGCTCCTCAATGAAAAAAAAACCTGCAGGAAACCGGAAATCTTTCTTTTGTTTCGACGGATTCGACGGATTTTGAAAATCGTTTCAAATAATTTCACCCTGTTGAGTGCTTTAATCCCTTTCACAACTTCGCGGCCTCCCCATAAATGATTCAGTTGGAGCAGCGTAGACATGCCCCCGCATGAATTTTCTACATATTTGACTCCTTGAATACCTCAGAGGGCGTAAGCTCATTTTCAAAGTGATTTTTCTTTTGAATTCATGTTTGTTTGTTTTATTTTTTGTCAAGTTGGCCCTAAATTCATAAACTGTGCATGCGTGGTATGTTGTTCTTACTCGATGTTTTGTTTACTGCTGTTATTTCGCCGCAGTACGCGATACGAAAGTCTCATACGGTTGACGAGTTATGAACAAAACTTCGCCCTCTGGCGGGAATTGAACTCGCACTTACTCTATCCGGTCAGCGCGCTCTTTATCCCTTATACTATGAAGTAACCGTAAATTTGATAAAGTCTTCGTCGTAAACGGCCAGGTTCACAAATATTCCAATCAAGCCGAGCAGGTGGTCCCAAAAATTTTGTCGCAAAACTTTCATTTAGTCGATGCTATCCTTCTTGTAATCTTCAGCACTTGCAGCAATACTATAGCGAGACGGCCCAAGCTCGCTCCAAATAAAAAAATCCAAAGTACCGTAACCACTCAAGTTTTTCTTGCAGATTTGAAAAAAATCCAAAAAATCAAAAATAGATGAAGTGACAGATGCCAGTTCATGCAAGTTTTTGGAACTGATATGACTCTTCAACAAACTTTTTTGCCATATGCTTTTTTTAGTTCTCCCAATGTTAAAAGCTGGAATGAACTTTCACCGACAGGCCCTGCAGTCTCATAGCATTTAGGAATTTTCATATGCCTATGGTCGGCTTTTTGTTTAATGATTGTTTCTAGAAATTACCCCTGATCTCGTTTGTTTTTAGTTCCTGCAGAGGTGTTTTTTGTTGCTGTCTTAATTCAAGGTGGACATTAGGTGCAGTTCGCCTACGCGGATTCGCCACATGCCGCGCGCGGCGAAAAGAAAACAGTTGTAATGAACGTTTTCGGTACTTTTTGTGATAACGGGCCCGTTCAGCACTATTTTTCCTTCAGAAAAATCCTCATATGTGGTTCAGATTGCCTTCCTGGGCAAAGTGTTCGTAGCATAACCGAATGGCAAAAAACAGGAGCTAATGTACTGGAAAGTTCTTTAGATAAACGCCCAGCCTAAGAAACAGCCATGGTTCTCTGTCGTTGCCCTACTACTTATTTAGCCAGTAAATTCTGCAATCGTTGCCAATACACTTGTATTCATCAGGAAGGAGTGATCCTACTCGCGTGTTCACGCAAATCTGCCGTTTGCCTTTTGCGGAAAATCGACTTTCCGCTCTGCCCGCTTCTCCGCTCAGCTAACGGTGGTGCATTTCACTTCACCCCTTCACCTTGCAAATAACGTTCAATAGCTGCAGCAGTAAGAACGAGGCTCTCTTGTCGATAGCCTTTTAATGACTCTTTACACTTTTCAGGATGCTCACGACGGCTGGGCGGCGGCTGTCGCGCGTCTCCGCGTCGCCACGGCCTCGTATGCGTAACTACACACTCGGTAATATGCCACCACCACCTGCTGTAAATATACGGACCCATGATCAGATTTCTCCACAGGAACGCAAGTATGAACACTTTCGACTGAATGGTGGCATTTCAGAAGCAGAAAAGTCAATTCAACTGATCCTTTTACAGATTTCTCGAAGCAGCCGAAAGAGGTGACAAGCCAACACTGCAAGAATGCCTTCTTACGGTGCGTCTGACCTTCCAAATCTTGAGATTAGAAAACCTAGAGAAATGCTGATAAAAATGCTAATATTCGATGAATTCTTCTAATCGTCTCATCACTTCCTTAAACTTCATGGTTTGGCTGATTTTTTTTCGTGTCCTTCTAGTCTAGAACATCTTGAAGCCTGTCCGTAAAGAGAAATAATCTAAAATAATGAATTATTTACAATTATCCACGAGATTCGTGATGCTCTTTTATTTTGTTGTTTTATTAGTTATTAAGGAAGGATTCTATGGCAAAATCCAGTACAATATTTGTTGTACTCTCACCGTATTTTCGTTTTTCTCCGATGAAATCAATCCATTCTTCAGAAAGAAGGCGAGACGCCATTAAATGTTAATTGCCTGGACTCGATGGGAAGGTCGGCATTAGAGATAGCTGTTGACAACGAAAACATCGAGGTTGGTTGTAAAGAACAGAAATATAAACAAAAACGGTTAATAGTATGTAAATATGGCTTCGCAAAGCTAGAATAGAAGGCAATTTGGGTGANTGATGCTCTTTTATTTTGTTGTTTTATTAGTTATTAAGGAAGGATTCTATGGCAAAATCCAGTACATATTTGTTGTACTCTCACCGTATTTTCGTTTTTCTCCGATGAAATCAATCCATTCTTCAGAAAGAAGGCGAGACGCCATTAAATGTTAATTGCCTGGACTCGATGGGTAGGTCGGCATTAGAAATCGCTGTTGACAACGAAAACATCGAGGTTGGTTGTTAATGAACAGAAACATAAACAAAAACAGCTAATAATATGTAAATATGGCTTCGCAAAGCTAGAATAGAAGGCAATTTGGGTGACTGGTAAACAAATCAACAATACCCCCAACTTTTGTTAAATCCACGATTTAAGGCAGACCCTTTGTTCTCTGGGAAGACTCACTTTATTCCTGGTATAACGCAATGACAAAAAAAAATTCTGAGATTAGTGAAATTCCTCTTGGACGGGGTTACAGGTTACCCAGCGGTTTGATTTCGGAGTCATTTGAACCATCGTCTGGTCCAGAATCTCAGCCTTCACCATGTATCTTAGGTATCATGTTTTTCGGGTGTAGGGTGATGCAGTGCATATTTCACAAACATGGTCACGGGTTCGAATTCCGGTCGATACCCGCCTAGGCCAACTAAGCCCTCCATCCCTGTGGGATCGGTGAATTGGTACCAGACCCGTCTGAGAGGATAAAAACACTGACTTGTACTGGCCACCGCTTGTCATTCATTCATTACGCCGCTACGATTCTGTGTGAAAATTGAATACGGGAGTGCATCCCACGGATGGGATTATCAAAGCCCCAAATTTCTATCCTTTACCCTTATATCCTGTTTTCCAAGCAGCAATGGATCTATACCGCTGTATTGAAAAAAGCATGCCCATTTTATGTTACCCAGACAAGCCTAAATCACCCACACCCCATGTTGCCCGTTGTTTGCCGACTTGCTTGAGCGACCACCAGTAACGTCTCCATTTCATTAGTTCAGAACTTCCGTGAAATCACTGACAACTAGAATAAAGGCCGCCCTTGTACTCCTTCGCCCCAGTGCAAATTAGATCGGATGACTTCTAAGTTCCGAAAAGAAATAGTCAAACGCTGAAACTGTGGGCGTCGGAACAAAATTACAGTAACGGATAGAATTTACTGCCCATCTAACCAATACTCCAACTCTTCCCAGACGTCGAATGGAATGAAAAACGCTAACTTGCGCATGGGTGGTCTCCGTAAACCATTGGTGGGTCTTCTGGTTGCTTCGAAACTCGGTTATGAAATTTTGCTGACAGCACCATCAGCTTTCAAGTATGCTTTACTCACTTGCAGTGGATCTACCACATTGCTTGCGAGGCTGTTGCTTTCCTCCTGATTCATTTACTGTTGAGTCTCGGCTTATACCAAAAGAATTTGGGCGCACCAACTTTGACGCTTGGTTTACCCATCAGGATAGAGCACCGCTCGGTCTAGGTGCGCACACTACAGTCTACCTTACCTATCCACACCCAATTCAGTAAAATTTTTTAGGTGCTCTTTTAGGAGGCGCCGAACCTAGGGCACAGAAATAAGCAAAGCCTTTCACACGTGCTATAAGGTTTATATCTTCATTTCTCGAATTCAGGTTGTCGACCTACTCCTGAAGCATCCAGACATCCGGATTGGGAATGCCTTATTGTGTGCGATACGAGAAGGTCTAGCTAATCCTTTTTTCCTAACATTTTGTTATTTTGTGTTTATGGACTTTCATTTTTCTAGGAAGCTATTATATTAACGTAGAGCATTTTCTTTCACTTTCTCGAGCCTATGCAGGACGTGCCCCATCACAAGTTGGTCCCTCATGTTCTCAGCGCGATAGTGCACGTCCCTCAAGAAGCTCGTACAATTTGGGAACCTTCGACTGAGGTCGTCGTAGCCAGTACTCTTTCCGTAGTGCTTCTCAATACCTACAGCCCGTTAGAATGCAAGAGAAACATGAGGGAACGGGCATAAAACCCCCGTTTGATGGCATTGAACTAAGTGTCTTATCAACTTGATTTGATGAAAGAAGTCTAGTTCATTGCTGAATGTTCTCCGTTCTCTGGGAAAGCTTTCACTGCAAAAAATGATTGCGAATAGCTGCCCTGTACCAGATATTTGGGTAAGATGTCTAAATTCTTCCCATACTTTTCTTCCTTTTCCTTTTTTCTCGACCACGTCTTTGGAGAGGATCTGTTCCATACGCTGATAAGCTTATTTCCGGCGCTCTCTTCTTTATTCCGGTCAATTCTTATCCTTTCGGGGCATCTGACGTTGATGACACAATCAGAAGTGAAACTGATTTTATTGTTTATTTACGTGGTCACGTTGTCACTCTGAAAAAAGGATCAACACATTCAAAGCACTCATGGTCGTAAAAAATTTCCCGATGGCCCCCGCCAGTTGGCTTTATAAAGGCTGCGCTGTGTGTAGATAATCTGCAAAATCAGACTCACCCCTGGAATCAAGCAGTTTCCCATCCTAGCCATATGTACTCCCTCCTTTATGCGGATGTTACCTACCTAGTTCAGCAGTGGAGTGCCATGTCATCATACGTTGCTGAAAAGAGTCTTGAAATTGACCAAACTCATCGGATTCTGTGTTTTTTATTTATCCCTACTCTGCTGGAACACTCTTCAGCATCAGTGCCGCTTTCATCAGTAACCTTTGATCATGGTATCATTAGGTGTGTTCGAGATAATCTGAAGAGCTAACTCCCCTTTCTACTGATTCCTCAATAGGCATTGATCATAGCCTTTCTTTTATATGTTATATATCGAATGAAGGGTTCTCTCCTACAATATGATATCCCTTGGTATCTGTCTGGTATCTGTCCCTTGGTTGTCAAGCAAAAAACCACCGGCAACTTAACCGGAAGCACTACTAGCACGAAGGTACTAGTGGTTTCGGTTAAGTTGCCGGTGGTTTTTTGCTTGTCAACCAAGGGAACGGTTTTACTAAATTATAGAAGACCATGAACCATCTCCCCACCCTTGAAACTGTTTTGCCGTCGGTGCGATTTCAATCGTCAAGTACTTCACACTACCATCCTTGCAGATCTTAACCCAGACCAATTCCCAGTAATTCCCAGTAGGGATGCAGGGTTTCCTCGGAACTTTCTATTTTTTCCACTTTTCAGAGAGCTTAAGGGCAACCGTCCTGTCAGCATCTTGCAACTGGTCAGCGAAGTGAAGCAAGAAATGTAGCAAAAGTTCTTCCATCAAAAAATCTAAGTCGTTTTTTGGTTTGGTCCAAGTTTTGCTCCATGGCTCCACCGTGCTTGATCGTTTTTCCTGGAAGTTTGAATTGTTTCTTGGCCCTGTCTCGATTTCCACAAAAACATGCATTATACAATGCAGATAGGCCTTCTACGACGTGCAATTCTGCTATGTGTCATGCTTAGAAGAAGAACAAAAAACGAAGAGGAAGTGTGCTCTTCAAAAATGCAAATCAAAGCGCGAAAGCTTGGCAAATTGAGTTTCGTCGACATTCGAATAATCGACAGAAAAATCGCTCTCGGTTGATGTGCACAGCGTCAGCAGCTATTTCTTAAAGCTAGGGAACATCAGCAAACCACCCTTTCATAGCAAATCCCATCAAAATTCGACTTTATTCAAGTTTTTAGGTGTCTATCGATTGGTCGAAATGCAAGTGAATCATCCGTCAATTACGCGTGAAATGCTCGGCGATGGTTGGGCCGAACATCTCGATCCTTCAGAGGTTGCTTCAGCCGAATATTCAAGGTGAGCTGGCTTTGACTATGTGTGTTGCAGCAATCTTCTTGCTCCTCCCGTTTTCTTCAATAACTGAATTTTTCATAGAAAGGAAGTCACCTTCTTCAAATGAAAATAGGTAAAAGCTCATTGTTACTCGAGGGGGAGGGGTGGAGGAGGGTTTGAGAGGTCCGCCACCAGTTTGTTACTTGAGGAGAGGGGGGAGGGTTTGAGAGGTCCGCCACCAGTTCGAAGTTTTTTACAAGCACATGTCTTGCTGCATCAGGCTGATGTATGACTCCTATAGCACACTTGTCCACTTGCGAAATATTGCGAAGATTGTCCATGTTGGTATGGTAGAGTTCAAATGGACGGCTCAATCGAGATGCAAGTGAAGAGCCATTGTCAAAGTGCAGCAAAAATGGCTGAAGTTAGGATTTCCATTCCGCGACCAATCGCTTGCCAGCTGAGCCTTCTGAAGCATTTTTAATAAGGCAACGTCTAGTAATCGTCTTGCATTTGTGGACAATGTCATTCTAAAGTGTGTCATTGGTCTAAAACTTCGAATCCGGAGATAGATGTTTTGGTGATGCGAGTGCCCCATGATTAGTCAGGCAGTGAAATGCTCACTGATTTAGAATCGAATCCAGAAGCGATCATGCGGGAGTATGTGTTTTACTCCGGGTATCCCACACGACAGTCGACTGACCTCATTACCATTACGGCTCAAGACGGGTCTGCGCAGTATGGGTACCTCACCATCTCAGGCTGCAGACAAGGTCGACTGTGTAGGTGACTGTCTGTGATTGCTCCGTCGTCCCACTTGAGAAGTCTTCGAAGGGAAATTGCTACTGGAGAGGAAAGCTAAATACTTTATGATAGTTCTACGGGAAAGGGCCGAGGCTGGCAGCAGGAGAGCTGCCAGCGTCACAAGCAAATTCTGGTCACTACGAAATGAGCTGGAGTTGGTGGAACTACACGAGCATTCTTCATTTCAAGCTGGTAGCAATCAATTACAGAAACTCGATGTTGTCCTGGGCCAACATAATCAGAAAAATCTACTAGTTGTGTTGTGAAGTGATAATGCTCGGCCTGTTCTTGAACGGAGCATGGCGTGGTCGAAGAAAAATATGTAGGGAATACTTCACGTCAATAGGTGGCACATTACGCAATTCAATCAGGTAGAAAGGGTCTTAAAACAGATGAAAGTTCACGAACTTCTTTACTGTGCTAGATTTCAAGTAAACAGCCCCAATGCCCTCTTTTCATGGAGCATCCCCTTCAAAAACAGTCCAGTTAGACGCTAACAAGGCTATTTTATTTCAGTGATATTTCACCGATTATCCTGGCAGCTCAGCTCAATCAGTTCGAGATTCTTCAAATGCTCCTCAGGAAAGATGCACGAATTGAAAGGCCACATCGGTGAGCATCAAACCAGTCCTTCTCAAGGGACTCGATGATGAAAAATCCTTTTGAGGTACTCGTGTATTTGTGAGACTTGTGATCGCGAACGGCTGAATGACTCGCTACAGTACTCATTGAAACGGATTAATACTTATCGAGCACTTGCCAGTCCTGCTTGGATGAGTCTCACCAGGTATGTACTTCGTTATTCATATTTAGGAGCCTATGTAGCGATGATTATGAATACTACTGCAGCGAATATTCAC